TTCTGAGGAGCTTTTAAAATACAAACAAATCATAGATAAGGATAAAATCATTCGCCTTCAAACCCGGATGATTAATAGTCAAAGCCCTGAGGGCCTGATTCACCCAATTCTCCTCCCGAAAAACTCAGACGTGGGTAAACTTGTGATAACCCATATTCACAAGGGATTATGCCACGCGGGAGTAGATTGGACACTTACAGAATACCTTAATCATTATTGGCAACCCAAAGCCCGTCAGACAGTGCGTCGGGTTATTTCAGATTGTATGGCCTGTAGGAAAATGAATTCCTATAAATACGCTTTACCTGAAATGCCTCCGCTCCCTTCTGACCGGGTTCAACAAAGGCGTCCATTTCAGTCAATTGGAATCGATTATGCCGGGCCTACCCTTACCAAAGTCAACGGAGCGCTCGTCAAGTGTTGGCTCGTACTTATAACCTGCCTCACAACAAGAGCGGTCTATATTGAACCAACACTTGATTTGACCGCAGCCTCCTTCATAAATGTCTTCCGCCGTTTTATTAGTCGGAGAGGCAAGCCGGAAAGAGTTCTCACCGACAACGGAAGAAATTTCGTTCTCGCTGAGAAAGCAATTAGCGCCGCTTTAGCACCGCTTTTGGCTGACAGTAAGATTGAATGGAAATTTATTCCGGCTCTTTCACCATGGGCCGGAGGCATTTATGAAAGATTGATCGGCCTGGCCAAAACATGCTTCAGGCGTACACTAGGGAAGCAGATCCTACCTTATGACCAGCTTGCCACTTTCGTCGCCGAAGTGGAAGCTGCTCTTAATTCTAGACCACTTACCCATGTTTCAGATGGGGAAGGTGCTCCTTTACCGCTAAGACCAATAGATTTCATTCAACCGGGCTCAATCCTAAATTTTGACCCCGCCAACAAATTAAAACGATATGAACATTTACAACCTCACGAACAATTACTCCTCCACTGGAAAGGGACCTAGAGAACCTAGACTCCCTCTGGACACGTTGGAGAAAAGAGTATTTGGTGCTCCTCCGTGACAATTCTAAATGGGTTCACGCCGGACCACGCCTTCAGACCAAATCATCTCCTGAAGTTGGGGACGTGGTTTTGGTAGAAGATGCTTTGCAGCCGAGAAATACTTGGATTATGGCTCGGGTCGTGCAATTGAACGGCCAACCAGGACCCATCCGGAGTGTAAAACTTCGCATGCCAAATGGTCGAATTACTACCAGGCCGGTAAATCGTATATACCCACTCGAGTCCGGACCCGAATCAAATAACAAAGAAAATATACAACCAGAGGGATCTGCTGGCTCAGAAACGGAACCACCAGACCCTGGTATCAAAATCACTAAAAAGATATCGCCGTTTGAGGAAGAGGCGGAAGAAGATCCCCCTCCTCCTAAGCCAATACCAACCAATTTAGGACAAGAAAGGAATATTCATATTCCTTTAACCACCCCAAAACATCGAATGATTACACGCAGCAAAGCTACAGTAATGGCTGCTGCATTACTTGTCCTTTGCTTCTCCTCATTACTATTTCCAACAATTTCAGCTACCTCGATTATTGAATGCGCTGGCTGTCCTTCTTGTCGAGGATGCCTAGTCCATTGTAATAATCGAGGGGTACGGATTTTTGCACCAGAAAAAATTAGCAAAATCCAAATCTGTTGTGCAGAACATTGTCACTTATTTCCCGGGCAGCCAGAATTTAACCATATTCTGCCTAAGGAAATGTTAGTGAATAATTATGAGTGCAAGGCAAACTTTTGGGATACAAATAGAGAAAATCCATACGAAGTCTCTACCCAATGTTCTGCCTTCCACCCCTGTCAATTAATAGATTGCAACTTCTGCCTAGAACTTATATTAAACTCAAGATGTAAACCAAAAATGGCAGCCATTGTTGCCTGCAGCGTTCTCTTTCCCATTCTTCTTTTATTAAGCTGTCTCTTCGGAGCCATACAAAAATTTGTTAAACCCTTCGGTTTCCTTTTTAAATTATTTAAAAAAGCATTCCGAAGGCAACGAGAACGTGCAAAAACAATAAAAAGAAAATTAATAATTAAAGAACCAATAAGGAAATTGACTAGAAATATAAAAGAGGTGAAAAAGAAAGGCAAGGAACTGAGACAAGCTAGCCTAATGCGTCTCGCACGTTACGGTATCTTCTCTCTTTTCCTAGCTTTTATCATTTCACTCGCCAACTCGGATACTGTAGCTGTAATATCACAATCCGAGAGTTGCCGAGTCAATAATGGCACTAGATTTTGTTCGGTCACCAGCTCAACGACATTGAGTTTGTTGCCTGCTGGCCAGCCCAATACTCTCCTAATAAAAAATAAAGTTGGAGAAGTGTTAGGAGCTTTGACTTTGACCCTAAAAGCCCTAACTCTCGTCTGTAATCCCAAGACTATAGCCTACTTAAGAAGTTACCAGATCAATACCCGTTCAGTCTGGCGATGTCCGACTAGCGGCTCTTGCTTAGGAAGCTTCTGTTCACAAGTCGGGCCAAACACGCATATCCCCGAACTTGTGGAATTAATGGATAAAGTCGGCACTAGTGGATGCCTCGAGCCATCCGCCATGTGGAGTCAGGGATGCGGATTGCCTACGGCTAGCTGTCACTTTTATCGCTGGTACGCAGTCCCCATGTCCCTTGATGTTTACGAGCTATTTGAATGTCCAACATGGGACTACCACATAAAAGCAGATCTCGCGATTACAGTCAATGATAATGTCCTAGAGGAATTTTTGACTTTAATACCGGGACTGACCCATCACGGAACAAACATATCATTAACACCAATAGCTGTCTCTAACCCTCCGGCACCAATTTTAGGAACCTCTTTCCTAACGCACGGCTTTTCTGTTGCCTTAGGAAAAGATGTACCTCGAGACTTAAAATGTCCCGATCTACCAAGTGCCCGAGGTTTTGGCTGTAGCATTTCTGAAGAGGCGTGCCGAGACTGTCGCCACGCAAATGATACAGTAACTTGTCAGTGCCGAGAGTTTGACGCGGAGGCGATTCTTGCTGACCCAGAGGCACGTCTCCCCCTCAACATCGGCCGGCACACCTTCCTAACAGATGGGGAGCAAGTTTATGTTGAACAAACTTATACCCCTATCCAAGTCCACCTACAAATGAAAAACTTTGAATTAATATCAGAAATCACTGAGTCGTCCTGCAAAATCACCGCCAAGGATGTTCGAGGTTGCTATAAGTGCCTTAAGGGCGTCCAAGTAAATTTTACTTGCACGACTGATTTTGGCACGGCACTCGCTTACACCCGGTGTGCCGACGGCATTAACTTCGTTACTCGTTGCTCTAAAAACGGAACGGAGGGAATTGCCGCTTTTACCTACACCAGATCGAGAATCGATACTATTTGCACTACCAAATGTCCGGGAGGAGATTCGGAATTTAAGCTTAAAGGAGAGCTGATGTTTATCCCTCTCCCGTGGAAAGAAAGAGAGATAGTACAATCGATGTCCGGGCAAAAGACATCGGTTTGGAATTTATCAAATTTCAGCCCGTACTCACTTTTCCCCGCACTACCAATTGGATTTATCATATCTCTTCTCTTTGTTTTAATTTCTCTTCTAATTTTGTTCTATTTCTTCCTCCGGCTTAAATTAAAATTTTTTAGAAAAATTGCGACTCAACTTGTCCCAATTTTTATCGTCATTTTTTTGGCCGGCGGGGAAGGGGCTATATGCCCATTGAACAAAACATCGGCCAAACTTCAAAACAAAATTTTGCAAATACAAAAGAATAATTTTGTGCACATTAAACATTTAAAAATGTTTTTCTGTCCAACATCTGCACAAATTACACATTTCACATCTCTTTTTAAAAAGTTAGCAAAGGCCAAAAATAAAGCTAACTTTTGTAATTCTAAAGACGCACTATGGCGCATTATTCAACAAGCGCCTGTCCGTCACATTAAATCAAATAAACAAAAGGAAGTAAAAATAAATAATTGTTTACTTCACATTAACTTTACCCATCGAAACACACAGATGGCTATCTTCTTCTTCAATTCTCTGATAGATGAATTGTTTATTGGAATGCCAAAAATTGGCGGTGCACGAAGGAGAAAGAAGGCAAGGCCATTGGGCCAAAACTTTTCCATCGCACCGCCCAACATTCAATTAAAAAAGTTTGGCTTTATAAATAGCCAGCAAAGCCAAGAAAAATCATTTTCCACTTGGCAGTTTATTCAAAACTCCCAATCGACTTTTCCATCCCTTGCGACTCTAAACCTTCTCCTTTTTCAAGAGATGCAAGCGCAACCCTGCCTCGTACCCCCTGAGTACGAGCCAGGATCGACCTATAGGGAATATATTCGAAAATGCCAGGAGGCAGGATATACACCCGACTGGCCGCAGAGAGGACAGACAATGGCCGAATACATTCCCCAAGCAGTCGGGCGCTTTTGGCCCCCGACATGGACCAATGACATCCCGCGCCGAAAGGCGCAGGGTTTACTGCTCCTCTTGTGGGAAAATTTGACCTATAAGGGTAAAAGGCTGCCGCAGGCAGATCCAATCCTCAGTCCCCCTGCCTGGATCACCGATGTTCAGCCGGGGCAGACTGTTGAGGATTTTTTCCGGGATAAGGGTCAGCCACTGGAGTATCCCGAACTCCCATGCCTGGTCCTGAAGGGAGGAGTTCGAGGCTCCTCCAGACAGAGTAGGCAGAGGGCCCGTGCAGTTGGCCACACTTGCTGGAAAGCAGGCCACCTCCACGAAGAGTACTTACCACTGGAGCTGTTGGTATACACCCCGGTTGAATACCCGGAACCGAGGATTGAACATTCCGCCACAGGGCGCAATCTTCGACCCTCTGCTAGAGTCGGGAGTTCGTCAACCACCCAACCACCACCGGCTCGAAATCCTCGAGAGCCCGAGGTGATAAGAGAGGAGGGGAATGAGGAAGCCCTGAAGATTATAATCCCTCGTACGTGGCGCCCCATAAATCCATCTCAATTATTTTTGCCATAATTGCTATGGCTTTTGCTGTTGGCGCGGACACTGTCCCCGTCCAGGAATTTAATGGCTTTTTACCTTGCCCTTTCTTTCGCGCTCCGTGTTGTTTCTTGCCCTTTGTTAACAACAATTACTTACTAATTTCTAGTATGCCTAAACGTTCCAGTTCTGCTACTGTCAAGGAACAACGAATTATTAAAAAAGCTCGTGAGAGTGCCTTTATTGCAACATTTGGAAAACCTCAAAGTATTGAGGACCAAGAAGAAATGGACCGTTTGGTCAATTCAATGGAAGAGATTCCACGTCCAGACAACAATACAAAATTTATCGAAACCAACAAGGACTCGCAGAGTCCAAAAGCAGCTCTAATTGTTAATCCAGAAGAGGATTTTTCTGCTTCAATTTTACCTTTGACAACACAAATAGAAAATGAGAATAAGCAACAACAGCAACCACCTCAACCACCTTCAATTCCTTTAACGACTGCTACTCAGCCACCATTACAATATAAATTGGCAACAGCACTTGCCCCCACTCAATCACCACAAATTGAAGGGCAAGTTATGGCTGGAAGCGGAGGAGGTAAAAGTGAAAACCCTGAAAATCCCCCAAAATCCATTTATACAGATTGCAGCCTCGAGGAGCGCATATCAAATGCCCTCCTTACCTGCATCAGTAAATTGACTGAAAAGGCCGTGGCTATTCCGTCACCAGCTTCTACCTCTCAAGTAAGAGCTGTTGAGGAATCCCAGAGTAATATTCAGTCTGTTAAGGCTTATGGTGCGCCAACATCGATGCCGTCAGTTAAACAACCGACCGCTTTTCCACCTCCTGAAGTGAAGGGTGCGATTCCTCGGCCTATCCCATTGTCTCAGGCTGGAGAAACGGGCCATGGGGAGGTAGGCCCTCGAGGTGATCCTCGTCGCCCTACTCCTTATGCTCGGGAAGCTGCTGGGGACCATGGGGGCCGGCCTTTTCGCCCGGCCCTCGGTCGTTCACCACTGGTTGACCAACACCTCCGAACTCTGCGTATCCAGGCAGAACAACTTAATCGATCAGTTGGCCGAGCTCTTGCAGATTTGGAACAAGAAAAATTAGAAGAGCCAATACATGATTTTTTGGCAATTGAGGGAGGAATAACACGTGTTTTAAAATCTATTCGCACTACCATTTCTCGCCTTCCCCCTCGCTAAATGTTTTTCCGCCGGGGCGGGGAGTGTGCCCAAAAGGGCACTTTAAATCCCAATTTATTTTATTAATCTATATTTTAATATTTATTTATCTCTCCCCGCTCCAAAACACATTTTCACAATTTACTTTTTACTATTCAACATTTTTCTACCGCCCATTTTTTGTCCCCTATTTAATGCTTTGGCCAACTCCCTTTAATCACTTGTTGTTCCCATCATTTACTTGTTTGGTAATTCATTCTTCACTTGCTTGCTTTTTGATTGCCAGCGCTTTTTGAGCCCTGCCAATCAATTCCAACCAACCTATTTAACTTGCTCGCATTTTAATATTGTTTAAGACCACAAGGGCCTGCTTTGTTGACCTGCAGCCCCAAAATTGTGCTCGGCTTATATTCCCCCGAGGCACTTCAATTATAATATTATTTTGATTAAATAAATATTTTTTAATTGTGTTTTGTGTTTCGTTTGTGTTTTCCTTAGGGACTCGTTTTCTGGAGATTGAAGATCTCCGTCGACCTTAAAACCTAAGGAGCTGATTCGTTCTGATCGAATCCCTCCTGTCCCTCCTCAATTGAGTTGTCGAGGTATTGTGCATTTACCCTTTCAGCACACTCATGTTATTCAAAATTTATTTGGCCATAACTTATTTACCTCTTATTTTGGGGGAGCAAAAGTTTATGCCGTTTGAACGAAAAAAATTTTTTTGGTTCTGAAACAAGACGAAAAAAATTACAAAATTTTTTATAAATATTTTCATTGATAATGAATGAAAAAATAGCAAAAGCTAAGTCTGTACTCGCTTTATTCATTGAGATCTCAAATCCCAAAAATCAACGGGAAATGAGGTTAAAGTACTTTAAAAAATATTTTAGCTTTCTAGGGCCTGTATCAAAAATTCTTTTTGGGGTCATTAGAAAGCCCATAAAATTTGCTACATACTACACTTGGTCTCATTTGTGTGAAAAATTTAATCTTCGAGATAGGGTCGCATGAATTCACAAGGTTGTCAAAATCACCCGAAATACCCTATAAAATGCTCATTTTTATGTCTTCGGTAATTCATGCCATCCTACCTCCGAGTTGAAATTTTTCAAATGTAGGAGACCGACCTTATTTTGTAGTAAATTTTATGGGCTTTCAAATGAGCCTAAAACAAGAATTTAATTTTTCAAATGTAGGAGACCGACCTTATTTTGTAGTAAATTTTATGGGCTTTCAAATGAGCCTAAAACAAGAATTTAAAACAAAACAACTAAAACAAGAATTTAAAACAAGAATTTAAGCTACATACTACACTTGGTCTCATTTGTGTGAAAAATTTAATCTTCGAGATAGGGTCGCATGAATTCACAAGGTTGTCAAAATCACCCGAAATACCCTATAAAATGCTCATTTTTATGTCTTCGGTAATTCATGCCATCCTACCTCCGAGTTGAAATTTTTCAAATGTAGGAGACCGACCTTATTTTGTAGTAAATTTTATGGGCTTTCAAATGAGCCTAAAACAAGAATTTAAAAAAATCCATAAGGGGTAAAAAATACTTTTTTAATCACTGTACCCCGATTTTACGTTGATTTTTAAGATTTTGGATCTTGATTAAAAATTATTTATCGAATTCTTTCTTTTTGCTTTTCAATTCAATATCAATGAAAATGTTTATAAAAATTTTTTGAACATTTTTTCGACTTGTTTTAGAACCAAAAAATTTTTTCCTACAAGCGGCATAAACTTTTGCTCCACCAAGATTGAAGGCAGGTAGGTTTTGCCGCTTATAATTTTTGATTAAAACGGGTATGAGAAATTTTTTTAATAAATTTTATAATTAGAAGACCTACTTTTAAATAATATATAATCGATCTTATTTTTGTCCCTTCTTTTCTCGTGATATATCAACTTTTTACTATGTGAAGTACAGCGGCATAAACTTTTGCACCTTACTGTATAAATTTTGATAAATTATGTTTTCTGATAAATTATGTATCTACCCCCTCAAATATATGTCCCTGTCTCTCCCCCCTTCAGAGCCCTAGTTAACCGCCCCGCAGTTTTTTCCAGTTTTTTCCTGACCCCGTTCCGCAGACACGGATTCTATACAATCCCCGCTCGACGTAAAATCTGTCCCGCCCCGTAAAGTTGAAAAAGTTGTTTTAGGGTTATGTAGAGTACTGTATTTTAGTATAAAAAATCTTACACTGAATATTATCATAAAAAGTGTCAATTTTCTACCCTCATTTTCGTACTTGTCCAAAAATAACGTTGCTCTTAAACGTTCTAGCATAACACAAAAATGTAGAGAAGGATAACAAATTTGTTGAAGGTATAAACTTCCAACTAATATCGAGGTAAGCCAAAGAGGTGTTAATAATTGACAAGGATTTGTGTAGATAAACACTAGCAACTTTAAATTAAATTTTATTTTATTTCAAATAATTTTAAAATTAAATAACTACAATGTAACGAAGTGAATTGGCGAATTGAGTTATTGTGTTAATAAAAATAATAATGACAATATTCACAAAAAGCATCTAAAAATAATAAATTAAAATTTTATCTTAGGTAATATTTCGGCTCTATAATTCTTTAGAGAAATTTTCTAACAAGTAATTCCCTGGATCGGTACTGGATATACTTTAGCCGGTGGCCCACTCAGAAACGGGACAAATTATATACCATTCGATTCGACTCGGCGAGCTGAGTCGAATGGGACCATTCTTTTTTTGCGGAAATTCCTACGAGCCGAGATATAGGTCCTTGAAAACCGAAAAACCATAGGGGGGAGTAAGCACAATTTTGGAGTGAAAAATTCGATTTTTTAAATGATAGCTCATTCGAAAGAGCTCCTCGAGCTGAGTCGAATGACACCAAAATTACCGTGGTTGAGTAAGTTCAGACAAAGTTACAACACAAAAAACAATCAAAATAAATCTATGGGGTGTCGGCAAGGCGCGTGCCGCAAAACCCCGCGCTTCGCGCGGGGTTTTGCGGCACGCGCCTCGCGGGGAGTCTACGGGTGCTGGGTCTGGGCTCGTAACATAAACTTATGCCTATTTTAGCTGCGGTCGGCATGTCTGGCTTTCTCCCGAGCAACAAAAACCTGCACGTAGACCAAAGGTAAGGAGCTAAAACTAATGCTCATAACTTTGTCAAATCAAGTCGGATTTCGCTGATTTTGGTGTCTTTCGACTCAGCTCGAGGAGCTCTTTCGAATGAGCTATCATTTGCATATTTGAATTTTTCACCCCAAAATTGTGCTTACTCCCCCCTATGGTTTTTCGGATTTTAAGGACTTATATCTCGGCTCGTAGGCATTTCCGCAAAAAAAGAATAATACCATTCGACTCAGCTCGCCGAGACGAATCGAATGGTATATAATTTGTTCCGTTTCTGAGTGGGCCACCGGCTAAAGTACAGCCTCGGTACTGAATACGGATACCATATTTGCTATAATTACCCAGAGTAATCATGTTTCAACCACTCGCTGGAGGGGTAATTAAAAGTAAGGGGTAATTATTTGAGCATTTTGTAAGAAGGCTAAATATAACTATTTTTAGTAGGGGTAATTATTTTTTCGATCCCTGGCTGGATTGGATAATTAATACGGAGGGGGTAATTATTTCAGAGAGGGACATTATTTTAGCATTCAAAATGCCTGCGGATATCCGTCTGTATCCGCCGTAAATATCCGGATACGGTTACCAAAATCCATGTCCTTTATCAAGTCTGGTAATTCCGATTAAACAAATTATAATCATGGAGTCAATATATGATCATCCATTTTATAACTTACACTCTTTCCCAACTAAAATACGAGGAGGTAAGGAGATCCAGAAGTAATTATATCTCCTACATAACCCTTTAAAACACATTTAACCAACCAGTAGATTTCCATGAATAAGAATTCGATGTTTTAAGTATTGTCGAATTAGCTCCCCAATTAAAACCAAAATTATTAAAAGTATAATTAAATTGATCCGCAAGACATAAGAAAACCCGGGACTTAACAGGCTTTGTTCAAAATTAATAGATAATAAAGTTAAATTTATATTTGGTGTTGAATTGCTTGAATTCATATTTAACAAATCTTAAATTCTAAAAAAAAATTTTTAGCTAGGGAGATGTCTAAAAAATATTATTGACATTTGAAAATCATGTCGAATTAGGCTTTGTTCAAATCTCTCCATAGTAAATTGTAACTATGGAGAGATGATGTTTAGAAAAATTTCTTTAACAATTTTAAGAAATAAAATATAATTATGTATGCTTTATTAATTACATTAAGTTCGCTCAAAATGTAATGATAATTTAATTGAAGGGAAAAGTAATAATTAAATTTGTAACTATGGAGAAATGTTGTTTAAAATTTTTACTTAAAATTTTTTTCAAAATTTTAAGTAACCAAGTAGCTACATAAATTGAATAGAGACTAACGATTTAGAATTAAATATATAAATTTTTCAATATTATTTAGTAAAAAAATAATTTCTTCAGCTCCCGTAGTTCAGAAACAACCCTATCTATTTACTATAATAATTTATTAACAAATGTTTTTGGTAATGCCGACAGATCAGAAACGCTGTTCGGGGCAGTGTTGGGTCGGAATTCCGATTTCCGACATTTTTTTCTTCCGATTTCCAATTTCCGGAAAAAAATTTTGATTTCCGATTTTGAGCCAGTTCCGATTTCCGGCTGTTCCGATTTACGACACCTCTGACTGTTCAGATCCACCTCTGGTTCGGGGTCACCTTTTAATAATAAATAATTTAAATATAAAAACGTTGATATAATCTTTTATGCTTTATTTAAATGCAAATTCAATATTGTTTTTGATTTAGTGATTCAACAAAGACTCTAATTTAGAAGAAAATCTTTTATTATTTTTTAATTTAACATTCATTTGTTTAATTTCTCTCTGATTTTAAATCCCATTTAATCCATTAATTATCTAATCGTTAATTAATCTTTCTTTAATTTATCGTCTTTAACTTCTTCCATTGTTTCCAAATTCCATTTACTCCAATAATCATCTTCTTCCTCTTGCATCGGTTGGAAATTAAGAGGGTTGTTATTCGGTTCTTCCAATGTCTGTAGTTCTACTTCATCATTAGAACTAGCTTCTAACGATTCTTCAGAACTACCTTTCTGATTTTCTTCATGCGCTTCGTTGTGTAATCTCTTTAAAATATTGCGAACTTTATTAACAGTTTTCTCATTAACTTCAATCACATTTAAATTTTTTTCTATTCTATTTTTAAGCATATTAAAGACGTTCTTTTTTATAGGAAGGCGTAAATAAATATAAGATTATTACATTGGAGATGTCCAGGCTCTTAGCCTCTATTCTTGAATCAAAACCTTTATTTTGATCTTTTCGGTATTTGTACCTTTATTTTTTTAACCAAAAAAGAGAACCCAGGCTGTTTTCGTTTCCAGCCAAATTTTTGGCAACGCCGTAAAACTAGATACAATTAGGGATTGGAATAAATAGAGACAGGATTTTATAATTTAATATGCATTAAAAAATGCAAAATATGCACGAAAATATGCATGAAAAATGCAAATTATACACAAAAATCTGAATATATTTTTTAATTACAGTTAAGTTACAGTTATTTAAAGTTTTCGCTTCCAAAGCAAGCGGAAACTATCCTTTGTGCATTACAAATCACGCACGCCCATTTTACTAAAAAAAGTATGCACTTGCATACTTTATCTAGGAGTAATAAAGCATTTTAACAATTTTGACCTCGTTTGAGGAGAAATCTTTTTGTAGAGGCATATTTTATGCACTGCTAGAACAACTTCTATAAATTCTCTGTTGGCCTTGATGCGATTAATCGAAACTTCGCCATATTTGTATAAAGCAATTATTCCTCGAATATACTCTATCTATAATAATTTTAAAACATATGTAGAATTGAAAAGTATTGAGTAGAGGTACCAAGTTCATTAATCTTCGGCTTACGAAAGCGGACTGATATACCGACTGATAATCCTCAGTTCAGTTTGTAACCTATAAACCTAATATAATCAGGATTTCTCAACAAGAGGTTATAAAGAGATCAAACAAAGATTATCTGCTTTCAAAGCATACTCCCTTTGTCAGCAGGAGCTTTACCCCAATGATTATACTTGAATGAGAAAATGCTTAATAATGAATGGATTTGGACAGAAATAGAACAGGGATATGATAATGTTGCCTACTGCCTTTGTGATTTTCTACTGGTATTTTCCAGGGTACCATAAAAAATCAAAATTTTCTAAAATTATTTTACGTTAAGTTGAATATCTTTAGTTCTATCAAGTATTGAAATGTTAGCTTTCGATCTGTTTTTAATTAACTTTAAAGCTTTTGCATATTGTTCATTTGTATTTTCATAATATTTAACCAATTTTTCTTGTACTCGCTCATTTGGATTTAAATCTTTATCAAATTTTTCTTTACAATTATTTCTTCCACTTTCCCTTTCAACAAATAATTTTAATTTTTTAAGATAAATTGGATAAGATTTGTTAGATCCAGACGTATTTAGATGTTTTTTAATTTTAGATCGGCGAACCATTAAAATAAAATTAAATAACAATAAAATAACAAGTAAAAGATAAATAATAATATTTTTATTAATTTTCATATTAATCTGAAATTAACGTTTTTTCTCTCTATTATTACTAAAGGGATTTTTAGGCACTAAAAAGTTAAAAATAATAGGCATTTCGTCAGAAAAGCTAAAATAGGTAAATTTAGGAAGCGATAAATGTAGTTGAAAGGCAAATTTCAAAAAATAACATCCTGGCTTGGATATTTCAGCTTAAGGCCTATCTAGGAAAAAAACTGGCATTTGCTTAAAAATCCTAGCTCCAATTATTATTTTTCTTGCGCCGTATTTATAAAGAATTTAAATAATAAATATAATTTCATAACAAAAAAATAAAAACAAAATAATGCTTTGTAAATGCCGACAGACATTTATTTCTTAAAAGAAAAGAACAACAAGTGACTGGCACGAGGGGGAAATTAAAGATGCACTTTTAAAAATAAATAATAAGCACTTTTATTAAAAAATTATTTTTTTTAGTTTTTTTTAAATTAATCAACATAGTAATGTTCAAGAGAAATTTACGACTACCAAAGTTAAAACTCACAAAAAATGGAGATTAAAATAGGGTTAAGGCCCGATATCGGGCCTTTCGAGCCATTCTTCGGTGAAAACCCCCGATCGGCTCCTCCGTTGGCCAAATCCAAAATTATTAGAAAATACTCTAAATTAAAAACAACTAAAACTCAATAACATGAAAACGCTTCTGATTAGGGTTGTGGCTCGAAAAAAGCCCGGGAACGGGCCGATAACCGGGCACCAGATCTAATTATCGAGTGTGAGTCGATTTTAAAGTTGTTAATTTTTTAACTCATTTTTATCTGATAATGAAGAAAAAAGTAAATATTTATATAAAATCAAAAATTTAAAATATATTCGTGAATCACAAAAAATATTTTTATTTATTCTTTATCATTTTTATGAGAGAAAAAGCCTGGAGGAGTGTTCTCCATATTCTTCAATAAACGCATTTTAAGGCCCTGAAATTATCTAATTTTTTAGGTATTCCACAATTTTTTAGATTTTTCGTTAGTCTGTTAATGGTTTGTGCGCCTATATTTTTTAGTTTTTCTATATTGAATTCAGACTAGGAGATGGATACGGATAAAGATATTGTAAAAATGCCTGCGGATATCCGTCTGTATCCGCCGTAGATATCCAGACACGGATACCAAAATCAGTATCCGTGTCCTAGTCTGATTTAATTAATGGGGAGATTAATAGCATTTCTAGCCATATCAACGTTATTACCACATTTAAAAATTTTAACTAATTCTATAAATGCTTTCTTCAAAAGATTTTATAAACGTAAATTAAATGGAAATTAGACTAAAGTTCTCTATTTGTTGGGTCTTAATAAAGCTACTATAATACCCAAAAATTTATTTGAGAACGAAAAATCTCAAAAAAAAGTTTTAAATTTTTGGTTTTAGTTTCGTACCGTTACACTGTGGACAGCCTTATAATTAATTTGATTATTTTTGGTAGAAGTCCCTTCCACATTTACTTGCTCAGATTTTGAATTATCTAGTTGTTCAGATGATGTAGAAGCTGTTGAAGTTGTTGCTTTTCGCTTACTTAAATTTGGTCGGAGTCTAACAGGGTTGCAAAAAGCCAGCTTAAACAATAAAGTTTTGGAATAATTTTGAATTCTACATATGTGCTCAATAATTTTTATTAAATTTTCAATAAATTTTAATGCAAAATAACACAATATATTACAGAAATATCTTAAATTTAAAGCTTTCTCATATTGAAATTTTGAACTTTAACGAAAATATTGGCCTTGTTTGGAGAAATAAATTTTCCAGTTTACCGTATTTTCTCGATTAATTCCCCTGGGGAATTATTTTTTCAACCCTTCCTTGGCATTGGAGATTAAACGGGGAAGGGGAATTATTCAAGTTTAGGCATTTGAACGTGGTATTTGGTTGTGGGGAATTGTTTCAACCCAACTCTAGCATGGGGAATTAATCGAGAAAATACGGTAATTACAAATCTTATTTAAGCCCCACTAGTATCGAATTATATAAAATTTAAATTTCAATTTAAGCCAAGCTGCCTAGACTCAAATATACCCAAATAATTTAATTTCTAAAAGAAACACTCACAACAGGAGAAGCCAAACTATCCAAAGATTCACGCATACTTTTCCTATTAACATAACGACTGTCAGCTAGCAAATTCTCCATTTGCAAGTCTTTAGCAGTCAAACCAAAATATGAGGGGAATAAATCACTTAAATTTAAAAATTTTTTTTAATTTTTTATTTCAAGTTTCAGTACTTGTTTGTCTGTGCCACAGTTGTACCAACCAGAGTTGTGTCATTTAAAATAATTTTGCTACCGTCACAATTCTCCTCTGGAAGTTTTACAGGAAAATAGGGCAACGGCTGGAAATTTTTTTTAAATTTTTTGGACCCTAACTGCCCCAATTTTTAATTTTTACGGTAAAATTTTACGTATTTTCTCACCTCTACATCACTAACAGAGGATACTGTAGATTCCAAAAATTCTTTAAATTCATTCCATCCAAAGTAAGAATTTTGATGGAAGGCTAATAATGCAAGTTCTAATTTGTCGGTTTCCTCATTTGCTAAAAAATTTCAAAAAAAATTTTTTGTCCCATGTGAAGTAACGGGCCCTTTATTTACATACTAGAGTCTAATTTTAGATTAAAGGCAGAGTTTACTTATGTGACTCCCAGAAAAATTGTAGACAGAGGACAAGGTAGACAGAGGAATAATTGTTCAAAATATGTAAATAATCAACAAATTACTAAGGTCTCACCGGAACCGAAATTTTGACCGGACCCGGAATGGGATCCAATTTGAGTTCCAGTTAAAGGAACCGGAACCAAAAAAACCGCCGGAACTTTTCGGAACAGAAACCGGTGAAATCCTACAAATTACCATTCTCTATTCACGAAGATGCCTGTGAACCAGAGGTTGGTCGGCACAATCAAACCGGAAAGCGGAAGAGCCGGAAATCAGAACAGGCCCAAAAGTCGGAACTCGGAAATCCAAATTTTTTTTTGGAAATCGGAAGGAAAAAAATGCCGGAAATCGGAATTCCGACCAACCTCTGCTGTGAACCGAGATATCGAAAACACCGAAAAAACCCCGAGGTCCCCGAAAATCGAAAAACCATAGGGGGGAGTATGCACATTTTTGGGGTAAAAATCAAAAATCATAAAACCCGGGAGGGCGTCCTATCAAAAAAATAAATTTAATTTTCAAAAGAAATCCCCAACATTCTTCCATAAACAATTTCCATTTATTACATAATCGTTCAAAATAAATAATCAACAAATTATTCAAAATATTTAAAGGGGTTGTCTTTGTAGTGGAAAATCCAATATTTTGAATTATTGAAGCTGTCGATTTTAATAATAAATTTTTTGGGTTAAATTGGCTGGAAGAGGACATTTTAGAGAGAATATTGATCTAAATAAATAGAAAAAAGGGGAAAAATAAATTTTTGTCCTTCAAAATGAAAATTAATATTTAATTTTTTGTCTCATAAAAAATAAAAAGTGAAAAAATAATTTTTGCTTTTCTAATTATTCACAGATTAAAATAAATAGATAGTAGGGAGAGTAGAGAGTTTAAATTAGGTATATTTTATTTTGGAAAATAATAAAAGGGTAAAAGAGACGGTTGTTTTTCAATTCTCGGTAGCCCGTGTTTCGACCCAAAGTTAAGATCGGAGATCGATGTTGGTGTCATTCAACACAGCTAGACGAGTCCAATAACCTATGACAGAGTTAAGATATCGAAGCATTTGAGGATTAATCCCCCAATATCCCTTCATATACCTTTAATCAGTATAAATTACATTATATCCAACATAATTTTTCCTTTTTTTTAGCGCCGCAGGCGAAAATTTTAAGAATTTGGTACTTTGTTCATATCCCGCCCCCCATCCCTATTTGAGTCTCAGATTAATTTTCCTTCTTTGCTGTCAATCATTTATTTTTCCTTCTTTTTTAATGCCAATCATTTTCTTCCCTCAAATATAGGACACCCAAAAGGGAACGCGGCCATAACGGCGCAAAGCCATAACTTGCTTCAAGATTTTCGAACCTTACAAAAATAAATATTAAACGATTCCTCTCATCGAGCTAAAGAGATAGATAACAAATATGACAAGAGTCAAAAATATTCCATCAAGTTATGGCTTTGCGCCGTTATGGCCGCGCGCCCTTTTGGGCTGCACCCCTCAAATTCATAAGCTTTTAACTTGCCTTTTACTTTATAATATTTGAGGGAAGAAAATGATTGGCATTAAAAAAGGAGTAAAAATAAATGATTGACAGCAAGGAAGGAAAATTAATCCGAGACTCAAATAGGGATGGGGGGCGGGATATGAACAAAGTACCATGAATTTTGTAAGGCCAAGAAGCCCGATTTCCTCCTTTTTCTTTTTTTAAATTAAAAAAAATTTTACAAAATGATAGCAAATGAATAAATAGGGAAAAAATAGGGTGAAAGTGTCAAAAATACGGCAGATGCCCTATAATAAGGCAAAAAGGCCATCCTGAGACTGACTGACCATTTTTTACATATTTATCAAAAATTTGTCTGGTGAGGGGGAGTAGTAAATAAGTCACAAAAGTAAAATTTAAATCTATGATCAAATTTTACGGGAGAAAGAATTCTTCTATCAAACTAATATGCTTACGAGGCGAAATTTTTTAATTTCTTCTTTACCGCTAAATCGGGGGGTACTTTATGGATATGTCACCCCCCTCCTATTTTGAGTCTCAGAGTTTTCCTTATGCGTAGAAAATGGTCAGAGATTATTTTCTTCTCCATGTCAATCATTTTTTTCTCCAAGCAAAATAAGTGAGAAATGTGGAAACGAAATGAGTGAAAAGTAAGTACAAAATTAAAAAATATGTGAAAAGGCAAAATAAACAAGCAAAATACATGAAGAAGAAACAAATGATTGGAATGGAGAAGAAAA